ACCCACATTTCAAGCGGGAGAGGAAGACTGTTAACATTGATTCATACAATCTTCCTTCTCTCTCTGGATATATCTTCTTATTATTGTTGCGGTTCTCTCTTTATCTCTTCTTCTTCTTATTATTCTTTCTTTTCTCTTCTATATATATATGTACACCGTGCTAAGGACACTTATTAGAATTAGATTAAATAAAATAAAGTTAGCATCAGCTCCAGGTTCCAGCTAACACATGTGATACAAAAAAGTCTATACTTTGTATTCGTATATGAGCTTAGAAAATAAGAAAATATCAAGTCTTAAGCGAAAGAGGCCGAAGAAGAAAAATCAGCTGAAGTGTTCTACAATATTTTTGCATTAATTGTTTATGCATAATCACCTCAACCTAATATACCGACTTATGGTGATGGAGTTATCGTATTGAAGCGAATGAGGAGCTTCAGTTTGTATAGTAATGTAACAATATATGGAACAATGAATCGAAGACTAATAGTTAAGCCACCGTATAAACCTAAGATTCGTGACACAACATACAATGTATTGGTGTGCTTATGGTCTGTATAGTGACAGTAGATCGGAGTGCATTGTTGATAAAACGACGTATACGATGCACTAAGATGCAATTGTTCAATAAATAAAGCATCGACAATATGCTGAATAGTAGTGTTTGGAGGAAAACGACTTATCGATGAAATATTCATTACAGTCACATTGCTCAGAGTCGCAAGCATTTCTGGACTACTACTTGTAAAATTTTTCAGTAGACGATCAATCAATGTTTGATTGTAGAAAACTTCAAAAGTGGATCTAAGCAATGTTTGCAATACTGAACAACCAAGAACCCATCCTGGCATAACCCAAGAAAATAATTCTGACTCTACACAATCACTTCTTGTTCCACATGAACACTCGTTGTTGACAATGACAGGAGAGGTCCGAACTGTTCTATCATTTTCTATGTCATTCAGCCAAAAGTACCAATTCAAAGCATAGCTGGATACAAATGTATTACCATGGACGAAATCGCCAACAAGTTGTATAGCATGAGAAAAGCGAAGTTTAGTGTCACTTTCGAACTGGCTTATAATATCAGTCATTCGCGAAAGAAATTGAAATTCTGCTATAATTTCTGCATTCAGAAATTTTTCAGCTAGAAAGTCATCGATCGAATTCTGAACAGCAGTGTGTGCTAAGTTGCATAATATTGACAAGAGTTGAAAAAAAGCACCACCATCAACGTAAAAATCTGTTCGCGTCAAAATAGTCGAATAGTTGCTATTAGACAATAATTTTATCCATGCTTCCTTCACAAAATCACTAGAACATATTTGATGATATGTGACATTCGTTGTAACCATTTTTTGATAAGGAATAGAAATCGTGCTACATGGACAATGAAGTGTAGATTCATATTGAGCAATCAAATTTTCGTACTGCTCTAAAGATGGTGTCGGAGTGCTTTTGTTCATTGTCACTGTCGGTAAGGCCGTAAATAGAATAATTACTGTAATGCTGATAAGAAGGAAAAGAATGTAAATACGTGTTGAGACACGTTCGAATCGAATGATGTTGATCTGGGTTGATCCACTGACAAACAAGTTTAAGTTAATGAGTTTATTCAAATGTCGAGCCAATCGATTATGTACGCCTAAAAATTCTTCTTCTTTTTGTGAATTATTTAGAAATTAGTATTAGCACTACTTATAGAGTTTACTAAACGTAGTAAAGATATTTAGTATCAACAAGAAGGTTTTCAAAACTTTTATAAATTCGAACCCATTAAACTAGTAAAAAAGTAACAGAAAAACGTCATTTAGGAGCTAGACATTATCAATATTGTACAAACATTGGGATTCACTGAATAATTCAGTTAATATTCGCCAACTTCAAACTTTATCGTTAGAATCAAGCTTTGCTTATCAATGAAATACAGAATACTCTGATAAAATATTTAAGCAAGATTTAAAAATGAACATTCTACTATCACATGTAATAATGATTCTCGTCAGCAGGAGAAATGTCTTCTTTTCAAGTCATTTGCAAACGTTCCAAAATAACTGATTTGAATTGTGTGATTTCCACTGCCAATAAAAGACTTCTCGAAAAAGTTTCTTTTGTATATTTAAAAATAAAGTTAGAGTACCTCGGATTTAAATCCAAGGTTTATGTGTACTCCAAAAAACTAAAATAATTGCAGAGAGATTGATTTTCATCGAACTGTCTAGTAACAAGAAGGCCAAATCATCTGTTGAAGAGATATTTAATTCAGCGGAAACTGCTATCTAATACCTTATGAGTCGAATAACTGTAACAGCACTCGTATACATAGGTCTCAGCGATATTATTGACTTACAATGGAGGTACCTGCATTGTAACGCAGCTCCACAATGCATTTTCATACCAACTTAAAGCACTGACTGCCAAACTCCCAAATTCAAAATATGACATGCTAACGAAAGACATAGACTTGAGATAATCGAATTACAAGGTATATACATATGTCGAAATATTAACGAGGGAACACCACGAACTGACCAATCGCTATTTAAATTCTAGTAATGCCAATTTGTAGAGCTTGCTCCCACTATAGTGATCCTATAGGGCCGCTATAGAACCCCTATAGGGGCTTATATGGTCCTGTAGGAATCCTATAGGGGCTCATTGAATCCTATAGAGGCTCTATAAGATCACTATAGGGTATCGACAGGTTAATGGAAGCTTTGGTTATCAGAAATTTACTCTAAAGCTGCGTCGTTGGCACGAATGATTATTATATCAGTTAATAACTCAACAAGCTCTACAAATCTGCATTACTAGAATTTAAATAGCGATTGATCAGTTCGTCGTGTTCCCTCGTTAATATTTCGACATATGCATATACCTTGTAACTCGATTATCTCGAGTCTAAGTCTTTCGTTAGCACGTCATATTTTGAATTTGGAAGTTTAGCAGTGAATGCTTTAATTCGATATGAAAATACATTGTGGAGTCACGCTACAGTACAGGTACCTCCATTGTTAGTGAGAAACAATGGTCAGTCAAGAGAGATGAGTTCTCATGGTCAGTCTATACATCAAAGTTATCTCAGGAAGCTGTTTTCCTACACCTCGATTTCTATCAGTTACTGGGCAACCATTAGGATTTCGAGGTTTATGAAGCTCAGATTCAAATTTTCCGTCCCATAAAATCTTTGCACAAGTTTAATAAAACCTCGAAGTATCGCTTCTCCTGTCGAAAAACGGGGTTTTAATTTTCGACCAATCAGAGCGTGGACAAATAGAAAAGCAATTTCTGTTTTGTATACTCATCCTTTCAGGATTGAGAATAGGGTCTTTTTTCAATTATAAAAGAAAATTTTGTTAATGAAAGCCGGAATATGTCAATGTGTCCATGGAAAAACACAGGTAATAATCACATTTTTTGCTATAACTCATGAAGAACTCAAGCAATCATTCTTAACTTCGCACTATACCAAGACATCGATAAGACAATAATATTCACAAAATTTCAGCCCAATCAGTCTTTATCTTCAAGATTTATAATGTAAACGGTCGGACAAACTGACCAATTTTCGAGTGTACTCACTTTTTGAATACACAATACCCTGAGTTCATTTTCATCGTTTCTTTTTTTTCTATCTGATCAGAACTCGCTTCGCTTATTAATTATTATTTAGCTAAAACAGAATCTTAGACTTACGATCGTTTAGTTCTAGTTGGTTAGTTGTTGTTGCTAAAGAATTTACTTGAGTGAGTTTTAATCGTTTGAGAAGCTTTGCGATTACAATACTTAATAAGCGAAGAATAATATTTAGACCACCGAAGACACCTATTATTGTTGTAACAATATATATGAGATTGATGCGCTCTTCATATGTGTATGTACACGAAGTTGGACGACAGTGTGTGTAGTAAGAGTTGTAAGTCACAGACGAATTGAAATATTCCACCATGATTTCGTTCACTATGGTTTCAAGAGTTGTATTTGGTGAAAATCGACTAAGATGAGTAGGATTGAGCACAGTAATATTTTGAGGAGCTGTGACATAGTAGATCGCATAGTTGTTCTGCACGGCTTGCAAGCAGGTTTCATTATACCAACAAGCAAGTGAGGATTTCAGTACTGTATCCACGATGAAACATCTTAATGATATACCTAAAGGGTGATAACCAGATTCAATTGGATCGTATATTTTGGCGCATGCTGTATCCTTCCTGCAACTGCAAATGTTTTCACTATTTGGATTGTACATTCCAGAAGCTAAGAAAAATAGTGGAGTTCCACCAGTTGATAGCTGATCTAAATAATGTCCTTGAATCACTATGTTTGTGCCGAAACCACTAACATATTGCTCAGCATGAAGAATATTCTTGACTAATAGAATATCGTAGAGAAATTCAGCGCGTGTCATTTCCAGGAATGTTTGAAGTGATGCGTTTGCTCGTGCTATGAATATGTCACGAGAAAGAACTTGAGCATTTACGAAGTTAGTAAGCAAAAATCGATTGTATGCAGAAGCAAAAGTTTTATTCGCCATATCGCAAAAGAAAGCCAATGCTCGAAAGTATGACGAGCCACGTAAATAGAAATCGTCACCAAAAACTATTCCCCACTGGAATTTCAATGATTTATACCATCGAGACTGAACAAAGTCACTCGAGCATACTTGGTGATATGTAGGTATGACTTGAATGAATTCTTTGTATGGAATCGAAATGATAGTGCACGGACATTGTAGTGTGTTTGGATAGCGTTCTTGTAAGTCTTCGTAGTGCTGTTGAGTTGGTGATTGTATAGTGATAGTGAATGTTTGTACTGACTGAGTTGTATATAATACGAGAATAACCATCTCCACGATTAATAATATCGCGTACACTCGAGTAGCCATACGACCTTGATGAATACTGACTTGATCTTGTTTGTGAATATCACTAAACAAATTCAACTCGATTAGTTTTATTTTGACTTCCAGCAAAATTTTTGTCAATTTGACACGCATTGGATTATCTAAATAGTGAAAATGACATATTAGTTTCACATGTAGTAATTCTCTTACAGTTTTTGATTTGTGGTTCAGTCGTCCGATTTAGTAATTTCTGTTTCAAAATCATTATAAGTTCGATGAAGTATGGAACGAAAAGACGTAAGCCTGCATTGAGTCCTCCAAAAAGGCCCAACAATGTTGTTACAATGTAGATCCAATAGAATCGACGAGAATAAGTGTATGTACACGAGATTGGAGCACATTTTTCATAATAGGCATTAAAAGAAGTCGTATTAAGAATCTTTTCGACAAAGAGTTGCTCTACCATTTCTTTCAGAATCATTGTCGGTGGAAAACGAGTGCTTGCTGCTTCATTTAGTACTGTTGTATTGATTGTTTTTGAATAGACGGTGAGAATGGTATTGATGCAAGATTGATTGTAAAAACATGCCAATGACGAAGCAAATGTTGAAAGAAAAGGTAAACAATCGAACATGATTCCCGGAAATGTGATATTGGCAATGATCCAATTGAGATTATAAAATGAAAATGTCTCTGTGCGATTAAATAGATAGACACCAGCTGGCATCTGACAAGATAGATCATTATGGCAAGAGCATGATTCATTTCTACCTGGAAACAAGTAAAATGTCTGCCAAAGACGTACATAAAGTGGAATATCACCATATGCCATCGCAGTAGTACCGGCAAAATTCGTTGATACGCCCGTCATAAGCCCATCTATCTGAGCAATTGTTTGAATGATAGTAAGATGTCGTCCGAAACGATCTATTGCTGCTTGCCAGGTATCTTCAAGTTCTGCTTGAAACTGAACATTTAAATATGCTTCCGAAAAAGCAGTATAACTAATCAGTGGCTCACTAGCAAACTCTGTAAGTGCACCATTGATAGAATTGGCAGCACTTCGACAAAGACTAGCAATTATTTGCCACATAGCACTGAGAGTGTTACGCAAATCCATCGGCCAAAATGCTGTCAAATTCATTTCAAAAGTAAAATCGATCCATGATTGAGAGATGAAGTCACTGGAACAAACCTGATGAAACAATGGTTTAGTTTCTATGAATTTGCCATGTGGAATTGAAATCTGTGCACAAGGACAATATAAAGTGTTCGGATATTTCTTTTCAAGTCGTTGAAATGTAGTTAGACTTGGTTGTTTGATAGTTTCTGTGATGGTTTGTTGACTTATTGACGTGTAGCTCAAAAGAATGATAAGAGCAAAACCAAACAATACTAGAAAGAGACGAGTGGCAAGGATTTGACGCCACATAATAGTAGAGTCTATAGATTCATTGCTGAATAGATTCAAACGAATAAGTTTTCCTCTCAAATTATGATACAATATTTGTAGTCGATGGAATATTGCCATTTCAATCAAGAATGCCAAGATGTGTCAAATTATATGTTTATGTGCGTGGTGCGTAAAATATTTTATCTATAATATATTTTTAAAATTATTTATGCACTTTTTGTATTTTAATCCTTTTTTTTATGGTCTGATCATTTATTCATCAACAATAATTGGAAGGAAAAACCTGACAGAAAAAAAAACTTCGAAATAAAAATGTCACAAAAAAACTCTGTTACGGTCCGTTACTCCTTAATCTTGGAAATAGTGTGGATATTGTGTTTGTAAATAAATACAAGAATGATGCAAACTAAATTAGTATTACAGCAATGTATGAAGATTTTAATTGAACTATAGCACCATGCGACAGACAAGCGCAGCTAATCTTTGTAGCTTCATTATTAATATTAGGCAGAATGTGGTAGACAGTCTTGATCGCAACTTTAATAGAGCTTGTAGCGGTTCGATTCCGTTTGCATCTTTTTACTGAGGATTTGACTGTAGTGCCGCTAGATGTGCTACACTAGAAACGAAGTAAGAATATATGTGAGTTCGGTGCGCCAGTAAGAATATCTATGATAGCTCCGAATATTTCTTCAGAAAAATGCATACTTTAAAAACAGTAAGAGCAATCTCGATACATACCGCAGTGGCTCCTATTACATCCCAAGCATTTTATCGAACTAATTCAGTGGGATTCACTTTATGTTTCAAGCATTTATGGGCAGATATTAGAACAAAGCTAGGATTTGGTGATCATGTCTGTTGTCCGTTTCATAGACAAATGGTCGTGGGTATTTTTCTGAATAATTTTCGATAGGATCTAGACAGAGGCCTGCGGTTTTCATCATCAGAAAGACTAGATACTGAAGCACCAAAATATACTAATGTTGCAAGCCATGAATAGAATGAGTAGACAATTCTCGACGGAGATATTCATCAGAACTTTACGGCATTATTTTTACGAGTTGGCTCAGTGATTCATTTACGTCTTTGGTAGAAAAACTTGTTCTCTGTCTATTTGCACAAGGCCCACCTTTCTGGCTTTTTCAGTTCAAGAATCTTAAGGGTCTTTCTGAGACGTTTGATTTCAGCTAATCGAATTTAAAGTACCATGAAAACAATCTGAGACGAAGTAAATGATTACGCCCAATTCAATGGTGATATTTGTTTTTGGATTCAAAGTTACTTTAAAGTGTTTTATCAATATTTCCTAAAATGTGCACTTATACCATGCATAGAGACTGACATAATGGAAATTATAGAGTACTTAAAAACGACTGAAAAATGATTTCAAATCGAAGAAAAAATATCAACATTCGATTCAGTATGATGATTTACTCTGTTTCAGATTGTTTTCCTGGCACTTTAAATTCGAATAGCTTAAATTAGAGGTCTCAGAAAGATTCTTATGGCTCTTAAACCGAAAAAGCCAGAAAGATGGGCCTTTCACGGATAGACAGAGAACAATTTTTTCTACCAAAGACGTAAACGAATTACTTAGCCAACTCGTAAAACTAATGTCGTAGAGTCCTGTCGAACACTTCCGCTGATGATGTGTCTACTCATTCTATCCATGGCTGGCAACACTCAAGCATATATTGGTGTTCCGGTGTTTTTTCTTTCTAATGATGAAAATCGCAGGTCTCTATCAGGATCCTATCAAAAATTATTCAAAAACAAAATGCCTACGACCATTTATCTTTAAAATGGAGTATAGTCACATATGTTTAAAATTTAAAGCATAATATTCTTTGCTAATGTATTTAGCTCTTCATAATATTATTTTGTTTTTCACAGAAAAGCAACAGAGAGAACTAGAATATTCACATATGTCAGGTGTGTGTATCATTTGTGCTTTGAGAATGGAATTTGTAAACTGTACTTTTGATAAATTGATAGAAGTCATTTATGAAGTGTGTATTCAACCACTGGACAAAACCTTAAAAAAAATCTTGATACTGTTCCTGAAGCATTAGGCTATTAGAAAAACTTGCGAGGCTAATCTCATAGCAATGAAAACAAAATAGTATTTGTATACATTAGTTGACATCAATAAAAAAACACATGAATTTAAACTTCTTTGCTTTCTTCTGTGGAGATAGGAATCAATATCAAATTTTTAGAAAATCATTTTCAACGTTAGAAAGATTTGTATACAAGTGTTTCTTTCTTGTCATCATGTCATTAGCGTGGGTGAGATATAAGACAAAATAAAACTCAGTATTTATATCTCTCCTTGATACATATTTCAAATCTGTAAGTACATATATTTCCTTTTTTCTCTCAATTATTGTTCGTTATTTACATCTAGTATAACTGTCACACCCTTCTATTTAGTACCTAGAGGAAAAGGTGACAGCTGAAACATAAAATGATAGAAAAAAACAGCAATTTTCTATTGTTATTGTAATTTTCTGTTTCTATCAATAAATGTCAATCCTACAGAAAATAAAGAATCTCTATGAAGATAATATTAGTTAAAATTGGTTCTTACCATCACAACGCGTCAGATCTAATCATAAAATAAAAACTGGCTACTGATGAAAAAAGTGTAAATGATTTGGTCGTAAAAGCTTATAGGCAACTACTTTGAAAGTGAATTGAGCAAAACTAATGGAAATATAAAAGTTAGTGTTGGCCACTGTCTTCGCATAGCATATGTTACATAGTTTAAAAAGAAACACTCTTTCTCAAAAACAATTATCGCTGATATTTACCTTTTTGCTTCGTAAAAAAGTATTAGTGTCAACAGACATTCATAAATTTTTGAACATAGAATTATTAACGAGTAACCATTAAGTAACACTGTTTTTTTTAACTTCGCACACAATGAGAAATGAACAAAACTACAGAACTCTTCTTTCAAATTGATAAATGGCAATTCATCTTCTGCTCTCTCTTGAACATTGGCATAAGTTGAAGACGTGCGTGTTGGGTGAAATATGACTTTGGCTGCGAGTATGAGCATCTCCGAAAAATATCATCACTCATCGAAACCCGGCATGAAAACCCGCTCATCGTTTTATCATTTTTATCAATCTTTCGCTCTCCTTTAGTTTCGAAATAAGGCTTTTTTTTGTTCTACATCGGTCGTCATCGTTTAAGATTGAGGAAAGTTTTGGAGATTGTTAATATGAAAAGAATCTCTTCCTTGTTTTTATTTTTATTATTAAATTATTAAGTATTGTTTGATGTTTCGATCGATGAAATTGATCTTCTTCAGAAATGTATTTTCAAATAAATAAGGTATATATTATGTTAAATTAATTAATTAAAGTAAAATAGACGATCTTACGGGTGAGTAATACAATTGCCAAATATATTATTTCTTTTTTCTTTCTTTCCTTTACAAGTATTTTAATACTGGTACGAGCAATCAAAAAGAAAGAAAAGGAAAAGAATTCCAGTGTCTACCGTCTTATCCCTACCAGTATTATAGTACATATAAAGGAAAGAAAGAAAAAAAAAGAAACAAATATTTGATATTCCTATGAATCATCTTTAAGACCGTCTATTTTAGTTTAATTTATTTATTTAACTTCATATACTTTATTTAATTGAAAATAAATTTCTGGAGAAGATCAATTTCATTGATTGAAACGTTAAATAATGAAGCATAAAAAATTTAATAATAAAAATAAAAACAAGGAAAAGAATTTTTTTATAATAAGAATATTGTTTCCTTCTAAACGTTATCTAAAAAATGATTTGCAAGGATGAAACTTTCCATGAAATATTACAGCAACTACCTCGAATATACGGTACAGAAAATGGATGGAATGTCCTTTTTCTAATTGGATAATAGCTAATTCCGAGACATTTTGGATCATCCTATGTAAATTATTTTTACAGAATCAGTATCAGTAAATAAGTTTTCCGTTCAGTGTAGAGAAGAACTGTATATTGTGAGCAACCTAATAAGTTTCAAAATTGCTTGGATACAAAAAGGGTTGTGAATATGATTGATATATTATTTTGAAAGTTCTTTATTGATTTCATACACCATCTTCTCATACTTTAAGAATTCACATGTATGAATGTCAGAATGTCGTTACATTTTATCAATAGGTTTCACTCGTCTGTACTTAATAAACAGTCAATTTTCAAAGTTCAAGGATGCATTTACGCTATGTCGTTAGATATACACATGCCCGATACCCTTGAAATACGTTCAAATAAAGAATGCTCGGGTTTACCCTATGCAGTGTAAATATCTACACTGGTTTTTTTATTTCATAACTGAGATTTAGCTTGTTATGCAGCTGAATTGAATATTCTTAAAATTCAAATATCAGTTCGATTAATTTATGATTCTCTTGCATATACGAACCTGATATTATTTAATTTCTTCAGTTGATTGCTTTGAGGATAAAATTCGATTTTTTTATTGAAATGCAGCATCGCAACGGAATTCAAAGTACGGATGTGTAGAGTTACCATGAAATGAGAGTTTTTCAATTTTAGAAGTGCATGACACAACAAATTTCCAGTCACGGTGGTACTTGATTCTGTCTTTTCTTTGTTGGCGGTCTCTGCTGCTGTCTTTGTGCAGTGTCTTTTACTGTTTTTTTGTTTGGACCGTCATCGTTGCACTATCTACTGTCTTTAGTGGATGGGTGTGTTTGAATATA